AAATCCAGCCCTATTTCACACTCAGAGAGTTCATAATCTTAATTGCATCCTTTAAAAAAGAAACAGAAATAAAAATGGATACCATGTAGAATTTGATCACTGAAATGTTACTTCTTTCCCAGAACAGTTTAAATCAGAGGTAGGCAATCTATATTTTCTACATAATTAAACATTTCCATATCCAAATCTCTATGTATACTGTTATGATATATGAGAATTGTATTACCTGAATGGTATCAGGCTGCCTACCTGTGCTTTAAGCTTTTTCACTTGCCATTCATTAAGCTTTTGCATATTTTGTTTAAAAAAATAGGATTAGAGTATTTGCAGAAATAACAAATATAGCAAGATATAATTTATCTCAGCTTTTTAATGGTAATAAACTTGTTATGGTGCTTTTATTCAGAATTCAATGTTTACATACGCATGTAAAAATATAAATATATATATATATATGTATATATACAGAAATTGCTCTTCACTCACTACAAACTAGACATACTAAAGAGAAATGCAGAAGATGTTGGAAGTATACAGCAACACAAGTACACACTTTTAATATAAAAATTATTCAATTTTATATTGTCAAATTTCCCCCTAATGATACAGGGGACTAAAATTCTTTATTCTATTAGAAAACAGGAAGAATTTAAACTGAATGAATTAAAAAAATAACATCCTATACCCACATTGCATACATTTCATATTATTACATTAGAGATAGTTGATTACTTGCAATATTGTGATATTTTGAAGTTTCTTTAAAAACTTCTATACCTCTATTGTTCTTTCAAATCATGAGTCTGCATGCAACTGTTTCCACTACAAAATACTAATGTATGGCAAACTGATTTTTAAAATCTATAATATTTTTTGCCCAAGTTTTCAAAATAGTCAATTAGCTGGTAAAGCGTTTTGAAACACTATTCTGCCATAAAAAATCAGACAAATTTTCCATTTATTAAAATGTGATTAGAACAGGAATATAAGTGCACAAAATGTGAAGCATAAGTCCAATTTCTTATAGTTAAAATGTTAGGAGTTTTATTCATGAAATAATAAACAGTAATTTGCTGTATATTGATAAAAGGTGCAAATTAAGGCAAAATGCAGAGGTCCTTTGTTTTTAAAATCACTATATACTTTTGTCAATGAGTTTTATTGTGTGTGAGAAAACTACTAGTTAGCAGAACCCTTGTTCTCAAATGAGTTTGCTTTAAGTACTGTATTACTATGAATAAATTCAGTAATCAAAGAAATAACTTTCATCACAATTCTTAACCCTAGAGATTTAATTAAATGTTTTTAATAGAACATTACAATCCCAACTCAACATTTAATTTTGTTTTGATATTTAATGTGTAAAAAAAAATCACCTTAAGCCATGCTACATTAAAACTTATTAAACAAGTTTGTAAAGATTGTAATGGAAGCACCTATTACTCCATGAGGACTGAGATTTTATATTAAAGTGTATTTACATATTTGTAATACAAATGAAATATTCTAATAATGTTAATTAACCACCATAGTTCTGACATTAATATAGCATTCAAACATTTTTTGCTATTCTGAAATCTATTAAGCATTTTTTCAGTTGAGGTTTCAAAGCACAAGTAAATGATCCCAGTTCAGCCAAAATAAAATAAAATGATAATAAAATAAAATAAAGCCAACTTACTTTCAGATTCATTTGTTTTATTTATGAAATTAGATACAATTCATAATTAATAAAACCCCGTAGTGAGAAAGATATACCTAATGGACCAAATATGGAAGGAAAATGTATGTCCTTTTTTGTTATTGGATTCTAAATGGTCACAAGAAATATGATCAAGATTTTAAATTTTCACATCAAAAGCCATAAATGGATCCAAACTAATAAAATTAGATTCCTAATAATGACTATAGCATGCTAATATATCTATGTTCTCATTCTTATCCAGTGTTTGCTATCTGTTTTACCTATATTACAGACACACTTATAATTTGTATGATGCAGATTTATTGTAAAGGGAAGGAGGCAGAAAAAATATGAAGGCTATCCATGCACTACAAAGTCAGTTAGGCCATGAGCACCTATCCCATTAAAACTACCTGAAATTTTATTAATTTCAGCAATCTCATAATTACATTTGGCTTCATCATGTTTGATATTTTTAGATACTACAGGTGGTCCTCAAGTTATCTGCAGGTAACAGCATTTCTTCAGTGACCATTTAAAATTACAATGGTGCTGAATGAAGAGGCATGTGACCCATGCCTGAAGTTATAACTGTCAAAATACCCCCATGGTCATGAGACTGGGTCTTCTGCAGTCCAGCCACACTTACAACGGCAGGGGCTAGCAACCTCTTATCTCTCTCCCATCTATGCCCTTTTAGGCTCACTGTCACCCTCTGTTTCACTGCCTCAGCTGATCTTAACTACCACCTTCTTGCTCCCACTTCTCATGAGGCATGCCTGGCCTCATTGCTGGGCCATATGGGGCTGATTTTATGCTGCAAAAAAAGAAAGAGAAGCCGAAAGCAGCTTTTTCTTTGTCTGTAGCTCAAAGCCAGCCCCACTCCTGCCCAGAACTCTTTGCAACTTTGAGCTGTGAATACAATAAGACAAAAAGGTGGTTTTTGTTTTCTTTTTCTTAGTGCAAAGCAAATCCCAAGTGCTCCTAGATGGGACTGGAGCTGACTTTATGCTGGGAAAAAGAGCCTTAGCTTTTTTTTTTCTTTTTTTTCAGTGCAACGCCAACCCCAAAGAGCTTCTAGGATGAGAATTTAGAAGCCTCTCTGTTCTGGGACTGAAAATCCTGCTTGGATTTTGGCACAGAGGATTTTCAGCCCCACTGCAGAAGGTTTTGGAGGAGGGCTTCCAAAGGATCACGAGAACATGGCTAGCTTGGAGAACAGCACAAGGCAG